TTTTATAATACAAATTGATTTAATTTATTTGTTTGACCTAAATACCTATTGAAAACATAAGTTTTTTATCTTTTGAAAAAATTAGTTTTTTACTTTACTTATCAGATTTTGCGGTGAAAAAATCACAAAGTATTATAAAAATTCAATAGTGTCAAGCTAGACTGTGCTATGCGTGCATAATTTAGCCTTTTTTACCTCGCCTGTTCTCCGAAAAGTAAAATGAGGTAAAATCTGATGAGCTCAGTATCCTGCGATCCGTATCTAAACTGTCTACACCTACCTGTCAAAATACTACAAAATATTTTCCTTTTAACAAAAACACACGCTGTTAATGTATTCCGGTGTTTAGTCACACACTATACAATTCCCATAACACTTACCTGTTTCCGCAACCATGGAAATTAAATTTGAACACAAAAGTAAACAAGAGCTTCCCAAAATAACTGTCTAGAAATAATTGAAGGATTTTAAGTAAATACTTGATATACTGTGTCTAAACGGCTTATTTAGTGAAGTAATTGGGATGTAGAGTAAGTCTAGTCATCGGATTGAAAGAGACTTTTTTCGTGTCAACGCCAGACGAGATTTACAATCTATAGCAAATTTTATGTACACTTTCAAGTTTACAAAGGAATTCTTTGCATGGATGACAAAAGGACGCGCAATAAAACTGTTGTCGAAGGTACAAACCGAAACAATTCTCTCTTTGGAAGTAAAACAATTAAACTTGGGGTCATAAAGCATCCATGGCAGCGCACGTAGGGCTTCAATTTAAGATGGAGGGAGAGACAAGAAAAAATTCAGTTTTATTCGTGAAAGCTGTTAGGTGTTGAAGCAGAAGAAAAACTTCAAAGAGAACTTAATGAGTTTGGAGTCCTATATCGTCTTTTCATTTTGATTGTTAACTTTTATCAAAATCATCTTCATTCTTAAGTAATATTTTTTTCCATATACATAGTTTTTATTAAAAATATAATTTATAACTTAAAGTTGTTTTTTATTATTAGAGCTTGGCGTTTGACGTAAATGTTAGGTATTCTATTGTAACTAATAGTCGTTAAAATAGATAGTAGATAAAATAGAATTGATATCAATGCCCCGCTCTTACAAAGTTACCAATTTTTACATTGCAATATTTTTGTTATTCTTTGTCGGATTTCGACGAATTTTTGTTTTGATTAAAGAATGAACTTTGCAGACCATTGTAATTTAATTTAATAACATTTCTAGTTTTGTCTTGTTATACCTAAAAGACGAGAGCACTGTTTTTTTTTACTTTACGTGCGACAGAAACAAACTTAAGTTGTTACTAATTTTTGATTATTGCCCATTTTTTTCTGAATTATGTACCACATTTTTTATAATTTTAATACATGACTCGATTACAGATTGTTTTTTTGGAATTGGAAAATTAAATCAGGAATCCAAAGTATGTATAAATGAACTAGTTGCAAAGGTGTCATCAGATTCTTTTGTTCGTTTCAAAAATATATTCAAATAAGAGAGAATTCAAATGATGAGAGAACGGACATGATATTGATTTTTGGGGAATGTTGCTGCAGCAAATTTGTACCGAGAGCTCCAAGTGTCAAAATTTTTAGAAGATTAAAAAATTGGCCTGCATTGACTCGTATTGCAGCATGTGGACGTAATGATAAAAGGAATTTTGAACCCTTATACTTTGTTAAGCATTTGTACCGTAGTACTTAGTAGTATTTGTACCTATCCATTTCTTTTGTGATTTTAATTGTTTATTGTTGTTATTAAATATACAATTAATTATACAACAAATTAACATTTGTGGTTAATTAAATTCACAATTTTTTGAAGCGACATTTGTTATTTTACATGGAAAATACAGGGTGCGCCAGAACTCGCGCCCCAGAGAAAATTTTCGAGTAAGGTAAGATGCCAGGAACATGAAAAAAATGTTTAAAAAATTCTATTTGTCAAAAAATTTTGACATTTATTTTTTAACATTTGACATTTTTTTATGTCTATTTAATGACACTGATGATATTGTATATGTTTTTTTATAATTATTTAGTAAAAGTAAAAAAATTGCCGATAAAAGCCACAAATAACATTAAACAAAGTTACAATTTAGGATATAGCTTCCTTGTTTCCTCTTTTAATAGGCTATAGCAAAAAAACTTGGACATCTATGAGGATGACATAAAAGCTATCTATGTTTTATGATGTGTATTATGATAATACAATAGGGATCCAGTTAGCTTTATAAATTGTATTTTGATGGGTTGCATTTTTACCTGGTCAGGCTCGTCATCTTACATGAGATGACAATTATTTCTGAGGTGCTATTTATAGCAAAAGAACAAAGCCCGAAGGCTATAAAACACCATCAAGCACTTTTCCAGTGTTGTATGTACTATTTTTAGTACGACTTGAGTAAAAACTTAAGAAACTGGATATGATTCTTTAACAAAATTGAAAAATTAACAACCCAAAGCTAGCATATTCCTTAAAATTACATCATGGAAACAATAAAAATGTTTATTAACGATGAACCAATCAATGAATGGAAGTGACTTTGTAACGCGGGAGCAAATATTTGCTCGCGTCGTTATGCTCATTTTGATTTCCGTCACACTTTTGACTTAAGAAAAATGCGGATTTCTACTTCCTATCGTGCAAAAATGTATTTTTTTACTACTAGCTGTAAAAAATACCATTATTTTTTTTTGTCGAGGGGTTGTGAAGTTGTTTTTCTCTCCTAGTAATCAATAATCATTTTCATTATAGACCAAATAAATTATTAGAGGTGATTAAATGCCGATGTTGGGGTTGGAGGATATTACATTGATACAAATACAGGGTGTTTCAGAACTCTTGCGCATATTATAGCTATTAATGTAATTAATAATAATATGCAATTATGCATATTATGCAATTAATAATCGAGGACGTTGGTAGGTGACGAGGCGTAGCCGAGTCACCTGCGCAGCGTCCAAGATGGTTTAAATCGCTAATGTTTGAGTTATGTTTCAAGCTTTATCATATCATTTACTTACCTTGTTAAACGCCTGTGGAGACATTTTCAATTTGCAAGAATTGGGTGGATGGAAGTCAAGCAAGGTTGTCAGAGGATATGTAGAAAAACACCTGGATAAGAAAGTTTCAATTGGGCAGAAAATCCAGGTCAAAAACGTTTCAATAACCAATGTGTCAAACTCGGTGTCAAAAACTCAAGGATCAATGTAATGTCACTATGAGTTTGTATCTATGTAACGTATATTATATGATTGTATTGAAGGTACTCTGTTTGTAATATTATGATGGTCTCCATAATTATCAATAAATGTGTAACATTACACAATTAGACACAATTATGTCTGACAAAAAAGATCGACATTTATTTTTCGACATTTGACTTTTTATGTCTACTTAATGTTACCGATGATTTTAAATGTTTTTTTTTCAAGTATATACAGTAAAGATACAAAAACTATCAATAAAAGACACAAATGACGTTAAACATACAGGGTGTTTCACATAATTTTACGAGGCCTGCGCCTGTAAGATTCAATCAATAATACATATTCCAATACGAACTCGATTACAAATTTTGAAAAATTAGATAATTTTCTCTAGTTTGTTCACCCTTTAAAAAATTGCAACGTTTTTTGTTAGTTATAGAGATTAAGATAGATAAACTGATAATTGTTTCTGAAAAACTGCAGTTTATGACGATTAAGTGATTAGTTTGACAACTACCGTCATGAGTTTCCAAAAATTAAATAATTAAATGTGTATTTTTTGTATCCAGTGTTTTGTGACATTTGTATATTTGGGTGCGTACATTAGGCGCAAGCCTCGTAAAGTTGTGTGAAACACCCTGAATTCAATTTATCCTTTTTTTCCTCTTCTAATAGCCTACAGCAAAAAAACATGTATAATATTTCCAACTGAAATAAATAAAGTCAAATTGCAAAATTTAAACCCCCATATTTAAACATTTACTTCATGTTCCTGGTATCTTATCTTACTTGGCATTTTTCTCTAAGGTGCGAGTTTTGAAACATTCTGTATTAAACTTTGTTATAATAATTAATCTTCTATATTTACATCGAAGTTTAGTTTTATAAAAATAGACATCAGAGTTTTAACTCTTAAAACTATTACAAAAGGTAAATTAAGAGTTATTTTTACTTGTCTTAAATAAAATATTTCTCTTTATTACCTCTATAATTAATCGATTAGTCGCTAATTTAAGCAATTTTGTAAACAAACTAAGCAAAAGTAATCTACTAAAATATTAAAAGTAAGTCGTTAAGAAGTCATTTACTTATTAAAAACGACAAAACATCAAACTCATCATCGATTTTCTAATTAAAAAAAAATTATACTCAATTAAAGTCAACAAAGTTTTCTAATGAATCTCCACTAATTAGCAATCAATTCCCTATAACCATGCCAGAGATCTGTCAGTTACCAACAGCAGATTGATAAAATCATTATCTAAACCACTTATTAATTCATACTACTTGTGTATGATATAGAATTACCACGTTTACAGTGCAGACTCCGCCTCAGCTCAACAAAAACAAACATACTTACGTCTCAATCTGGACACTTTCTCCCCTCTCTAAAGACTAAACCAACCAGATTTGAATTTATCTGTCCACGCCCACTTTACCATTGGCAGAATATTACGGTTTGAGTGAGATGTTGACGGACTCGCACAGCACTCAAAAATAACAAGCTCGACAAAGACAGAGAATATGGAGAAAAATCGATAATGCCACAAGTCGCTGCAAAAATACTAAAATTTTCGGGAAAAAAAATACAAGGCGTAGAAATCTAAGTCCGAGATTATTGAATTTTCGTGCAGTGTTGAGGTAATGTTACATATTTGTCGTTTATAGCGGTGGGAGACAAGTTTAGAGAGAGACAATCAAATGCGCAGAGACAAAGACAGGCGCATTGAATTCGTAGGCGGGGCCAAACCTAGCCTTCAGTAATAAAGATGACTATTTTGAAAACTTACTCAGTTTGACAGCGTACTTTTCGAAGTAAACACTTGATCCCAGTGCAAGTGGCTTTGAGTGTGGTGAACTTATGACCGAAAATGGCGTTTGAGGACCGCTCCAGCCCTAACACCACCGACGAGGCCACCCAGATCAAATCCCCCAACTCCCCCGAATCCTCCCGGACCTCTCCCTACACCTGCACCACCATATCGCAGGACTCTCTCAAGAACGACTTCTTCCGCATCACGTCTTTCGCTCTGTCTAGTCCTAGGGCAACCCCGTCACCGCCACTCCAGCCCGAACCCGTCATCCAAACCCTCAAATACTCCATCAGGAACATACTAAAACCAGAATTCGGGAAAAGCGCCGTACTTAAGACACGCACGAGCCCCAAGATTGGCTTCAAGCCCTATGAAATTAAAGAGGACCTGAAACCTTTCTCCACAGCTCCTTTGGGCAGCCTGTGCCAAGCCGTGTCGCAGATCGGAACGAGTCCGGAGCCAGCGGCAAGGCCAAAGAGTCCTGTGAAGGGGCTGTTGCCCACTCCGGACGAAATCAAGAAGGATGAGGGGTCGGTGCCCACCTTGTGGCCCGCTTGGGTCTACTGCACGCGGTATTCGGACCGGCCCAGTTCAGGTAAAGATGGGATGGGGTTATTAATAAGCGGTTAAGGTCAACATCTGCTTAATATTCCGGATTCAGATGAGGTTTATGATGAATCAATTATTAACCCATTACGAAATCACAGTTTTTTTCGCGAGACCAAATCTTGTTTTATTAAATACGTAAATTATAACAAAAAAGTACACCCACTGTTATTATTCTTTGAGCCATATTGGCTTTTAAATAAATTTTTATATTTTTGTTTGAACAGTAGTTTGTTATCATTTGAGTTATTTTTACAATTCTTGAAAATAAACAATTAAAAAATTTTTGATTTATTTAATTTATAAATTTATTTAGAATACTACAGGCTTAAAAATAATTAATTAATAGTTATTTTGATAATAATAATTAAGGCTCGGATTATATGCACGAAAAATTCGTAAAATATGCGCATATGTATGCACTTTATATTTATAAATCATTGGTTGCTGAGATATGGATGATCAAAGACAAGAGAAACATTTTTCATTTAAAGTCAGATATGTTATCGACAAATTAACGCTAAGAGAATATGAAAAAATCATATTAAAGGCGAACAAACATGCTATCAGGCCCATGCATTGACTTAACTAAAAAAAAATTCCCATGTCCGTGGACGAAAAACAAAAAAAAATAAAATTTAGATTTTTCTTTCTCGCCCTATTACTTAGAATTGCGTGATAACCGTAGCACACAAAAAATATTTGCCAAAAGATCTCAAAACTAGAAACTTAAAGCTTCAAAATGTTTTTTTTTTTAATCTAGATACGACCATTTTTCAAAAATCACCAAAAAATTTAGGAAAATTTTTTCTTCCTTTAATTTTTTGGAGTTTATTATATTTTGTTGCTTGATGTAAGTAAAGAATGATAAAAAGTAGTTGAACTTTTATCAAACTCGGATTTGCCTCGTCTGCCTTCATTATTAATTTTAATTTAAATAATTATAGACTACGTTTTTATATTACTTTAATTAATATTAATTATTATTTTTTGGAAACAAATGATTAAAAAAAAAAAAACGCTTGTTTTGATACCTTATACCTAAAACGAATTTAAAACGGAAACAGTCAGCAGGATACTAATTTTTTTGATTTGAATTACCGGTTGTTTTCTCTTTAAAATATTTTCTAATCGGATCATTTTTCTTAAACTGTACAATTTTTAACTTGAACTGAAGTTGCCAAAATATGCATTTTTTATTTGACTTATTTTAATAAAAAAACATTAGATATGCATAGAAAACTTACAATTTTGTTGATAATAACAAATATGCATTTGGCATATAATCCGAGCCTTAAGAAATAATAATACAATAAAAAATAAAAGAAAAAATTAAGCTTTGGAAAACATGCTTTAGTTAAAACATGCTTTTTTCCATAAAAGCATGTTTTAATTTGGGTAGTTAGTTTATTTTTTATAAAATTTACTTTCAGGCTTCTACGTGAAAAAATACAATTTGCTTTTTGTCATTTAAAAAATGGTAGAATGAAATTTTAAGATGCTGTAGTTTTTAAAAATGTGTAGGTACTTCTAAAATTGAAAATAAATTTTCAAATTTTGTACAGTTTAACAATTAAAAAAATAGGTGCTTATTCTCACATTTTTAGTTAAATAATTCTGTATAATCGTTATAAGTAATATTTTTATAAAGTCGTAAAAGACACTATAAGCTTATTATAAGGGATTATAGACATGAAAAAAATATTTTTCTGAAGAAAAATTTGAATTCATTGAATATTGGTACATAATAATTAATTTATAGAAAATACGAACAAAATTAATGTTTGTAGTAATTATACATTTTCAAATTTTATCAGTTTCTCTCAATTAAACATACCTATATCTGTTTACATTTATAAAAGTTATCTGGTAGCTAAGCCATAACTGTGTCCTGTATGTAAAATGTCAATTGTCAACATTTGTCAATGAATTGAAAAGCAATAACTGTACAGAATGTCTCAAAATTCACACACTTTCTTGAAAAGGAGTAATTGGGTAGTCCCCCAGAGTACTGAAAAAATGTTAACAAAATTCTATCTATAAAAATTTTGCTCTTTGACTCTATATTTCTGTTGGAAAAATAATTTACCAAAGTTTTTTTGCTACAGGCTATTAGAAGAAGAAACAAGCAAGCTGTATCTTAAATTGTAACTCTCTTTAGTGTTATTTGTGACTTTTATTGACAAAATTTTTGTATACAAAATTATCAGTATCATGACATAAGAATATGTCAAACGTCAAAAAATATATGTCAAAATTTTTTGACAGTAACACATATTCAGTACTCTGGGGGACTACTCAATTACTCCTTTTCCAGGAAGTGTGCGAATTTTGAGACACCCTGTATATGTAGCGTTATTTGTTTAAACAAACAATACCTTATTTAATATAACAAAGAAAATTTCGAGGAAAATACACTACAACTACTTTTCATTAGCGCCGTCAAAATACGTTTTTTAATCTAAATCACTCGCAGGAAGGTTAGCCAAATATTTAAGATAGCAGTCCTTCTACCTGAAATATGCCGCATAATTTCTGTGATTATTTGGTAGTTTTTGTAATGACGTCATATATCAAACCCTCACCGGTGTTTTTTATCTTGAAATAAATGCGGACCGAAGTAAAGAAACATAAGGGTATGACAAAGAAAAAGCAAAAACCGCCGTCGCCTTTTTATCAGATCTCATAAGAATACAGTAGCCTTCACTAATTGTTCGAGAAATGTCAACTGAAAAACAATAGAACGCTTGATGATTGATTCTCGACATTAGGCTGAAAAATATCGGTTTCGGACTTGGTGATGTTGCGACGACGTGTCAATACATCAGAGGAGTGACATCAGAGAGATCACTGATAAACAGGAATGTTAATGTGTGTATATCTGGTTGCATAATGCAAATTGATTTATGTGAACACTTTTCAGCAGATTCTATATTTAGGAAAATCAATATATCAACTGTGCACTTAAAATTAAAAATAAATGTGATAAAAATGCGTTTTTAAATTCATACGTTTCAACAGTGTGGTTAAGTGCTTTTTAAACGATTTATTTTCGGTACCCTGTTTCTCAGCGATCTAAAATTTACCAGCCACTAACAAGCCATCAATAATGTCTTTTGCTCATCTTAAATGGCCCCATAATAAGTTGCGCCCTTCCGACCCCATATTTCAACCGAGTTAATACCTCCCTAATGTCCTCTGCAGTTCGCAAACTGCGCCACAATTGCTCTAATTAGAGACAAATGTCGACCTTACTCTTGTCATGAATATCCCTTTTAGGGACACGCTATTGATCAAAACACACCAGGACCGTAACGGCCCAATTGTAAACTTATGTTTTGTTATAGGGCCGCGTTCACGCCGGATGAAAAAAACGACCAAACCCAACAGTGAAGACAAGAGGCCTAGAACGGCTTTCTCCAGTGCTCAACTGGCACGCCTCAAGCATGAGTTTAATGAAAATCGATATTTAACTGAACGAAGGAGGCAGCAATTAAGTGCTGAGTTGGGTTTAAATGAAGCACAAATCAAAATTTGGTTTCAAAATAAGCGAGCGAAAATCAAGAAATCCTCGGGTCAGAAAAATCCATTGGCGTTGCAGCTGATGGCGCAGGGACTTTATAATCACTCGACAGTGGCGTGCGACGAGGATGACTTGCCTCTGTCGTCTTAATATATTTTTTATAGTTTTAAGTCGATCTCATTGTATTTATTATGTACAAATCATTTATATTAGTATTGTTATGTACATATTTGTAGAGCATTAATTTTTTTTAAGAAAGTCATATCTCATACGTAGTTGCGTAATTTATAAGTCATTATTGCTTGAAATTTTGCGTGAAAATAACACGAGTAGTTACGTAGATGTAGATCGCTATGTATGATAAAAGCCTTAAAAATAGACTGATTAAATATTTAGATTATAGCAAATTGTGCAATGTTCTCTTTCTTGTAAATATGAAATAAATATTGTTCTTCCATCATGACTGTTTTATTACTCTCTTTCAACAATAACCCATTATTTTCTGTCACCTTACACTTTGATTTGTTTCTCAATTGAGAAATTCGCTGGTATGCAAAAAGAATGAACGTCGATTAAGATCTTGTAAGGCTTTGCGTTAACGATATTCATAAACAACTGTCACAACCCAATAAAGTAATTAACGATGACTTAATTGACCTTATCTTTTCCACATCTGTACTTCACGAATAAAGTCGCATTTGAACGTTTTAATGTTTATCACAATTTACTAATCAAGTAATTCAAGTTTTGAAAAAATCTAAGTTAACTAGAATACACGATCTTTCGCCATTTTATAGTGCAAATAAATTTACAATACCGTAAAAGTCGTCGCTAAGTTCGAAGTAATTTTGTTTGGTAATTCTCGAAACGTGATGTAAGTATCACTGATGCTTCACTATTGTCTTTGGAAAAAAATAAAACGTGTTAATTTACAAACAAACTTTTAATGTGTTTTTAAGCGAAAGCGTTGTAATTGATAATGCCAATACACAATGATGCACATCAACTTCAACCTACTTAATTACCCAAATTTAATTAGGTGCTTTTGCGTGATTTTAGTAATTATCTTTAAAAGACCATTTAAAACTTTTAACACCTCATCAGGGAGATTGTTTTAGAGTACCTATTTAACATTTATCAAAAATGGATGGTATTAACGACATTAGGAGGTTTTCTAATTTAATTTATGGATGATTATTTGCATGTTGATAGCGCTTATTATGCCGTGTGTTGGTCGGTTCAATTTGGGGCTCTAATGTAAAAACTCTTCATGTCACGGCTCGTGCATTAGTCTCTTCAACGACGGAATATTGCAGTGCTGTTTGGATGAACAGTTCACAAAATCAATGCGAGGCATAACAGGCATAGCACTTTAAAAACAACTCCCATTGAATGGCTTCTACAGAATATTGAATTGCAATCAAATTATCACTCACGGTTAATTTGACATTTGACAATGCAAAATAAATGACAATTAACTTACTTATATAAAGGGTGTCCCAACGGAAACTTGTGGATTTAAATTCCAAATAACATGCGTAGTATTTAGAAATTCAACGATTTATTAACATAAACATAAAGTAAAAACCTCAAAATTATATGTGGAACAAGATATCGGATAAATGTCCACCGCGATTCCTATTGCACACAGCAATTCTTCGATTCTTTTTTTTAATTTTTAATAAATTTATCAAACATATGCAAATTAATTTCGGCAAATGCCATCGAGGTGGAATTAAACGCAAAAATTGAGGATTTGAGGAAACTGATTGGTGGTCACGATTACGACTCTGTGAATGAGAGTCTAAGGGGTGAGAAAAGCGCTTTTTTGGAAAGCATCAAAGAGTTGCGTCTCCAACTCCCAAGACCAAAAAACCAAAAAAACGCTCACAACAACTCTATGACGAAATTATATGAAGTGGTCGAAGCCATAGTTAATGATTTATTCAAATAAATAATGTGAAATTTAAATCCCCAAGTTCCTGTTGGGACACTCTTTATTTGTTTAATTTTAAATTAAATTGTAATTCGCTTTTTGTAAACCGGCACTTAATGTAATTTCTTTGAAAACGACTAAAATGCTATAATTTAGCCAGGTAGCACTAAAATATGTACAAGTATTTTTATTTCAGCATTTTTTAAATAATGTTTTTCTAATAAAAATTTAATTTTTATACAAACAAAATCAGAATAAGTTTAGTGATTTTTCAAAATGCAAATTTAAGTATACCTACTACTCCACAAAATTAAAGGGACAAAAAATTTTCCCAAATTTTTGATGATTTTTGAAAGGCTGTAGTAACTCATCGAAAAATGGTCGTATCAAGATTAAAAAAAAACTATTTTGAAGCTTTGGGTTTCTAGTTTTGAGATCTTTTGGCAAATATGTTTTTTGTGCTACGGTTACCACGCAATTCTAAGTAATAGCGCAAGAAAAAAAAATCTAATTTTTTATGGCTTTGTTTTTGGTCTACGGAGGTGGAGAATTTTGTTTAGTTAAGTCAATTTATAGGTCGGATAGCATGTTTGTTTACCTTTAATATACTTCCTTCATATTCTCTTTACGACAATTTGTCGCTGAGATATCTGACTTTAAATGAAAAAGGATCATCTTGTCTTAGATCATCGATATCTCAGCAACCACTGATTACACAGAGAATATAAAGGTAGTCTCAAAAACTAGGATAAATGTGTTATAATATCCTTTTATGATGTTTTGAAAAATAATTTTTCTTCAACTGTAACATTGATTTAAAGAAAAGAGAAAAAAGTAACTTTTTGCGTTGTTTTAGTCACTAATATTGATGGGAAAACTAATGTTTTTAGGTGTTTTTACAGCTTAAAGTATCCCCCACAACTCTGCTAATTTTTAAATCGATACATCAAACCAATTTATGGGACTGATTGATCAAAGTTTTGCAAAAGAATTGAAGGAACAATTGCACATGTTGAACAATAATTGCCTATTCTTTATCAAAATGAAAAAAACAATTTTTTTCGACTTTGTTAATTTTGCATTAGTTATTTGCTAAAAATAAAAAAGAATAAAAGAAAATTGTTTTTTGATTATTTTTTGGAAAAGTAAAAACATTTAAGAAACAATGAACTGCTTAATTAAAAAAAAAATCAAAATTTTTTTTGTTTATTTTTTTCAAATTTAACAAATATAAAATTGTAAAAAAAAGTTGAAAAAAATTTTTCTCATCTTAACAAAAATTAGACGATGTTCAGAAACAATATGTACAATTGTTCCTTTAATTCTTTTGCAAAACTTTGATCAATCGGTCCGAGAAAACGGTTTGATGAATCGATTTAAAAATTTACAGGGATATAGATGGAACATTAAGCTGTAAAAACACCTAAAAACATCAGTGTCCTCAATAGTATTAGTAAATACGCGGTAAATTTACTAAAACAATAAAAAACTTACTTTTTTCTCTTTTCTTTAAACCAATGTTAAAGGTAAAAAAAATATTTTCCAAAAAATCATAAGAGGATCTTATAAGGTATTTATTCCAGTTTTTGACACTACCCTTATATTCTCTGTGTGCTCATTGGTTGCTGAGATATCAATGATCAAAGACAAGAGGATCTTTTTTTATTCAAAGTCAGATATCTCATCAAAAAATTGTTGTAAAAAGAATATGAAGAAAGCATATTAAACATGCTATCCGGCCTATAAATTGACTTAACTAAAAAATATTCTCCACGTCTGTGGATCAAAAACAAAAAAATAAAAATTTAGAATTTATTTTCTCGCGCTATTACTTAGAATTGCGTGATAACTGTAGCACAGAAAAAATATTTGTCAAAAAATCTCAAAACTAGAAACTTAAAGCTTCAAAATGTTTTTTTTTTTAATCTAGATACGACCATTTTTCGATGAGTTACAGCCTTTCAAAAATCACCAAAAAATTTGGAAAATTTTTTGTTCCTTTAATTTTTTAGAGTAGTTTATTATATTTTGTTGCTTGATGTAAGTAAAGAATGATAAAAAGTAGTTGAACTTTTATCAGACTCGGATTTGCCTCGTCTGCCTTGATTATTAATTTTAATTTAAATAATTATAGACTACGTTTACTTTACCTAGCCCGCGGTAGGCGATTTTTTTTCCATGTGTATTATTTAAATTATTTGAAACTAGAAAAGGCCTTTAATTTTTGTATTTCCAACAGTGAATTAGGAACTGCAAATTGCCATTCCGGCGTTACTTCCATAGCAAATATTTTGTCTTTAATTGAATTTTTCCGTAAAACTTTTCCTCCTTCCACATACCTTTTGCACTAATTTCACGCAATTAAATTCGCCATCCCTCTGGACGCTAACTAGCGACGTCCTAAAAAATTAGTCCCCTTTCTAATTCACGACCGTGATGTTTCGCACCTTTTCTATCTCGGTGCGTTAGTAAAAGACAGAGCGTCAGTAATGTACTTAATGTTTTATTTAAATGATGTTGGCGGTGTTATAAATCAAGAGAGGACCACCCGTGTGCGGCAGTGGCTCGGTCGCGCAACCGGACACCGACACTAGCGCCAAAAATGTTAACAAGACACATGACAACTGCCGCCCAACTGCGCTCGACGTTTGTTAGCGAGGGTCAGAGGGGCGGTGGCCCAATAGACCCCTTATGCGCTCTCCTCTCGTTAGCTCACTCATTAATGGGGTCCAATTATTCTACGCGCTCTTATGAATTTCAAATTGCCAGATCCAGATACGATCGCAGGCGAATTCAAACCGACACTCCAAGGACCTCAAGTCGGTACATATTGCACAGAAATTCTGCCTTGTTAAGAAAATACAGGGTGTTTGAGGATTGCGAGCAAATATTTTAACCACTAATAGGACTCGTCAAAAGAAACAACTTTCGTTATTCCAACTTTTGTCGAAAGCACGTCATTTCTGAGTTAAAAATAAAAATAAATTGAGGCTGAAAACTCGTCCCCGCCTATGTCTTAATACCATGTTTACAATTATTCATAAGAAAAAACTTTGGAACGTAAACAGCGTAAAGACAAAAAAATTATCGCTACATTAGGGTCAATGTTAGTGGGTCAATACTTGCTATTATAAAAAAATGCTCGAAATGTGGTCATTCGTTGTCAATGCACACTTCTTGTACTCTTCGGGCGAGGGAAGCTTGCGTTCGCATAAATTTGAGCTGCGTACACTAATTCACTAATTCTTTCATGTAAACCCCCAAAAAAACACACATATTTAAATCGGGTGACCGCGGTGGTCATTGGCGACCAAACCAACTCTAGGGAAAATGATTGTTCAATCCATTGGTAACGATATTAACATAATCTGATGGAGCTCCACTCCAATTCAGATAAACGGCACTAGTTAAACAAACGTTGAGGTAATATGTGGGGTCCAATTTGGTGATCTTCAATGATTACTGCCCAAACATTTAGTGAAAATCGGTCTTGGAAGTGCGATGTCTGTACACTAGTTAATTTG